AGGAGAATTATTCGTGACCTCGTTTCATACGGACCAGACATTTTCTACACGTGCAGGGGACTCTCAACTTTCGTGGCTTACCAAGTCCAGGGTGAGTGAAAGCAGAGAAATTCTTGGTTTACCAAGTTCAGGGTGAGTGCAAGCAGAGAAATTCTTACATTACCAAGTTCAGGGTGAGTGCAAGCAGAGAAATTCTTGCATTACCAAGTCCAAGATGAATGAAAGCAGAGAAATTCTTACATTACCAAGTCCAGGGTGAGTGAAAGCAGAGAAATTCTGTCTCTGGGTGAGCTGACATTTATTCCTTGGGGATTCACAATTGCTGCTCTTCTACCACAGGTGACAGAAACCAAGGGTCTGTGCCAGGTGTTAAAGGCTGGCACTGAATTATTGAACATTTAACATTTAATCCTGCTCTGTGTCTCCTGGTAATTGTTTTTCTTTTGTTTTTGAAGGACCACAGCTCGACCTGGGGTCGTGCATCAAACTCGATGTCCTTCAGTACCTGGCCCTCACGTACTGCCACAATGACAACTTTGTGTAAATCATACCTCTCCTCATCCCAGCTGCAGCTGCTGTCCAAAACCAATCCTGAGTTATTCCCTGGCATCTCCTCTTCCATCACCTTCCTTCCTGAGGGTTTAGTGAAACAGATCAATTGGTGAGCAGAGCTATCAATTAAATTCCTTAATCACGGATTAACTCTGGCTTGTTTGTCGTTCCTCTACCCTTTTCCATCTGAGAACATCTCCATGAAAATGTTCTGTCCCATTTCCAGTGCTCAGCACACCCAGAGAGCCCAGGCTGTGTGTGGTACACAGGGCACCCACAGCCAGGACCTTCCTTCCCTGCTCAGGGAAAGATTCCTCACATTAAAAGTTTGGATTCAGGGGGAACAAAAGGCAGAAGCAAAAAAAAAAGTGCAAAGCAGTGAATTTACCTTTTTTAGGGGGAAGAGGAGTCTCCTGTGTGGGATTTACAGAGTTGTTCTGTTCCTGCCATAAAGCAAGGCTGGAATTCCTGTTGCTCAAATCTTTACAATCAAGATTATTTCCTCTTTAACAAAAATGAGCTGAGGCACTCAATGCCATCAAAGCACTGAGCTGTGCAGGAGCCTCATCACCCTCCGGGCAGGTCTGGACCAGCCAAGGACAGCCACTGCAGGTGATTCCACCCCAGGGAGCTCTTGGGCCCTTGAAAAATCAGAGCAGGGAAGAGAATAAAATCCTCTCGGCCGCTGAGTGTCAGCCTGGAGCTGCAGAACTGAGAGGGAAAAGGGACCCGAGTCCCATCCCGAGCCCAGCTCTGCTCTGCCGGCACCAGGAGACGGCAGGGGCGTCCAGTTCCAGCTGTGCCCAGCTCCAGCTGTGCCCCGTTCCAGCTGTGCCCCG